CACTTCTTATAATAATAAAATAATAGTGATAAACCAGACACTCAAATATACCAGCCATGAATGGAGTATTTGCGATAAGGGGCTCCTCACTTTCAGGGCAAACCAGTCTAAAATCGAAAATGATGAGGAATAAGGAACTATTGATGGGAGCAGTGATTCAAATGTATTAATTGCTAGTTTTGATAGTGGAATTGCTAATGTACTGCATAAAACATTCGCAGTTACTTGCAGAAAAAGTAGCCACGATAGGACAGGGCACAGTTCCTCCTAACAGTGATTGTTTCGTGCAGTGCATTAGCGATTTCAGAAGGAACCAAGTAGCTTTGATAAGAGTATTCGTTCAGCATAGATTAACAATATAAAATTATTTTGGTTAGAACTTCATAATATATAATAAATTTATTTATAATCAGTTCGACGAACTGTTCCCATAAGGAAGCTCACTTCAGCTTATATAGACGCTGCAATAGGCACACTATTATATTCAATTTTTGTACATCAAAGATATACGTATGATGCTTTGGCTTGGGAATATTGTAGTAACATCTTGGGCTAATAGAGTTGTCAGGTTTATTAGACAACTATCCACACTTACAGCTCACATGCAAATGCATACAAACACACACACAGATAAGCATATATACCAGAATACAAATTTAGCAGCACAATACCATCAAGCAGACAGCAACTTTATGTGCAATATGTATTATCGCGAAATGCATATGCTGCTGCCCCTGCAGCCTTACATCACAACAACATTAGTTTAGACAAAATTTCGCTAGGTCAACATGGTTCTGCCTGAATGCCATGCAGTTTCATACAGTAAGCACTCTCTTAGTTGTGTAATACACAAAGCTATTGTCTGCCTCACCACCTCCAAACTCAACTCATTTACATGTACAGAGGCATCAATTAATTCAGTGGAATCATAGTACACATATAGTCGTCTAATACAGACAATCTAAGGACGAGATTACCACACGAAAGCTTCCAAACTATGATTCTTGGCAACTAAGACTTGTACTGGTTTGTTAGGAGTGAGCGACCAATGTTGATTTGTTGCAAAGTCGACTACGCTCTTTCACTGTGGCTGTGCAACATTTGCAAAGCAAAAAAATCAGTTTGCCACCAAAAGTAAGGGCCTGGGTGAGAGCCCTAAATGTCAGAAAAATTGTTTGCGATGTTGTGCAAGCGACAAATGTGTGAACTATAATGGCCCATTTCTCAGACCAGAATTTCTGTTCACAAAGGAAGGCATTACTCAGCACAAAAGATTTATCCAGGATACTATTAATCCAAGATATGTGCATCAGCAATATTAGCAACACAATGAAAATGAAAACAACACACTCACCAGGCTCTTTCGGAGAAGCGATCCCTTAGGAGCTTTGGCGTCACTGTCAACACTCCTTCCAAGCTCCGCTGGCAATCGTGTACCTCCTTGTCAAAGTCCCAGTGTAAGTGCCTTGGACCTGAGTCATCGAATGCCAGCAAAAAGACAATGAATGAAACAGTCATATTAGATGTGGCCCAACTGTTGCAATAACTTCAAGCGAAATTCTGAACAAAAAAAGTTAGCAACACTTCACTTCGCAAATACTGGCAAGCCGCAAGCAAATCAATGCTATCCCTTCGTGCACTTCCCATACAACATCTCTTTACGTTAACATTTGCTGAGCTTCACACTTGCCCAGAGTAATGCAGACTAAACTCGCCTTCTAAAAATGATGTCAGTACCCCTTAACCCATAAAAGCAAGGGCCCACATGACCTTTACAATATATTACTTGCCTTTCATTTTTTTTCTCCCTTTCTTGCTACAATACATTTCCAGAAATAAAGTATAAGGGCACGGTGTGGAAAAATGAAGAACAGCTTCTAGTTTCACGGAAAGTATTACACCAATGGATACAAAAGCTTCAATTTCACACTGGACAGTTATCTGCAGCATTGATCACGGGTCCTGTTCAATTTTTTCGTTCATAAATCAACATACTCCCTTGTAAAAATTTCACCTCCCATCCTGTGCAACTCGGTCTCTTGCATTTGTAATATATAAAAAAGTAGTGGAGAATAAGGCCTTTGCACCCTACTGCAGTTCAACACGATATGAGAGGCAGTCACGATCTACTAATGAGCTGAAGCACATTTAGCGATTATACAAGATGCTGCAAAAAATAAACATGCATGAGACGAGAATGCACATACGGTGTGCTCACACACACACCTAAGCAGACACATGTACAAAAACAGACTAATTCAACATCTGGGCAAGAGATTAGTCTTTTTTGAGAAAAGCAAATTCTCTAAACAAGTCTTTTAAGGGGTCCTGAATCATTTCCTTAAAAAAAGCTTAAAGGATCTCAGTATCGAAGTTTAGTGCATCCCGAATCGGTTGCTGCAAAAGCTTCTCAAATTCTTCAAAAGAGAGTAGAGTTACAGGTAGGTATTTGTCACATGCTTTAACCACTTCCTGTCTTGTCTCATGCCGAAGAGTGTGCTGGAAGCTACACATGTAGGGATGACATGAGGAAAAAGAAACTATGTAAGCACCTGTTACAATCTTTAGTGCACATCATAATATGCAATCGCTTTCTTGCCTTCTGTAACTTAAGCTCACTATAAAGTTCGGTGCTGGCCTGTGGCAAAAACCAGTGGCAAGATGTGCATCTGATCCAAACATCACTTCAGACTAATGTCGGCTATCAACCAAAAGCAGCCAACTGCTCTTTCAAATATCACTGGCCACCTGCTTGCCGAAGTGAGTGAGAACGGGGCCTCTGTATGATGACAAGGCACTTCAGAAAGCAGCAACTTCGTACTCTGCTTGTATATGTGCTGTTGTACAAGACTACCAAATTTTACTCATCTGTTGATAGCAATGTTTGCTGTTCATAGAATGTGTTTTTTCACCAAGCCCGCAGGGTGAATTCAGGCCCCTTAAGACTCTGAATTTTATTTTTCGGTGTTTAGGCTAAAGCATCATCAAATAATTTGCACTGTAAATTAAGCAATGCACCTGGTATCGATGGAGCTACGAGCAATCTACGTTACTTTCCTTCTCAACCGTAGTGCACTCAATGTATTGAGCTATGCATCGCTCTGCATAGATTTTGCAAACAACTCCGGCAGCAAGCTGACGCATTTACAATGCGGATCCTGGAGGCCTCATAGAAAAACCACATCACTGAGATTTGCTTCACAAGACGCAGCAATGATACCAGCCATTCATATTTTATTCTTAAGTATGCCAATAATCAGCAAATGCCAAGTACACAAAAGCACCTGAGAACAATCACCGTTACGCATAAACGTGGGAAATATGGTGGTGTCGTCAGGAAAAAATTGTGGCAACAGACACATGGATCCTGGCATTGATTGGATAGTAGTACAAGCCTAACACTCACTGCACCAATTCTAGTACATTCTTCAAGTAACTAAAATGCCATAGCTGAAGTAAATTCCCTCATCAGCTTCCTTGCATAGTATCACAGCTATGACATCAATCACTTGAATTACTGCCCATGACACAGTTAGGGAAATGCGTGGTGTCCGAGAAAAGAAACCTCAAGATAAACGTCGTCATGCATCTCATGTCTATATTGAGCGCATTGTAACACAGACAGATGGCACTCGCTGTCTAGTGGAGGTCCCGAAGTCTGGTAGTAAATTGTGATAGTGCATTCTCTTTTTGGTTACTGCTTTTCTTAAACAGCACAAATGATAAACTGTTTCAATGATTACAAAAACATGTTTTCTTCACATTTAGTGGGAAAATGGTCAGCGACATAGGTGAGACATTTCTAATCAACCAGATCACTTGCCGGTGCTGCATGTAATAAAATAATACTGCATCTAATGGAAGTGGGGAGGGGGAGGCTGAAAACTAGTTTGGCCGAGCCAGTTCTATCTGTTGTGATTACCAGGTTTAAAAACTTTTCAGAGCACATTTAAAGGCAGATTTTAACATTAAGCTTACAAGCAAGCATGTATCATAGGTGAAAAGTTTACATAATCTTATATATATACACATGCAATTACGACGCGACTAAATGCATGTTGCTGACCGTTGCCTGGAATTAGACTAATTTTTGTGTTCTAAAATACTGTTTAATTAGATCTGTTTAACTTTTGAAGGAAAGAAGACGGATAAAATTTTCAACGAGAAAGTTGTAGACCGGTTCGCAAAATGTCCGATTAGACAGTTTTGAGCTTTATATCTGTTAATTATTAGTGCTTTTCTGCTAACTACAAATGACCACAAAATACAAAAAATACCACGTCACAAACCCACTGGCGCACCCACACGCACCGCGATTATGGTGCTTTTCAAAGTCCCGCCTACAAACGATACGCCACCCTCACACCGGTTCACGGCAGTGATAAGCAGTCACAGCGGTTATCGCTTTTGTGGTCAATAGCAAAACGTGTTCATTGCAAAGCCACCACCATAGTTATGGCCCTATCGAGACAGCACAATCGGGCAAATGCTATGGTTGTTCGTAGGCATAAATACAGTGAATATGTCGTATAATTCACTGTATTGATACTAAAATAGTCACATATACATACATAGAGAGAGACTTATCAAAAGCATTAAGCTAAACAAATGTTGTTGCATAAAAAACTTGTACACATTTTCTTAATGCGTAGGTGTACTTCTCATACTTATTTTGCACAAAAGCCGTGCAAACGCTGCAATTTTCGTCATCCTGTGACTTTATTTCTTATGTGGCCATGGTGCCAAGCTGCCTACTCTTCCCATAATTTGAATTTTAAAGGCATGAAAGGAAAAAAGAATGGGCGTAAACAGACCACTGTGAAATAGATTAAAGACAGGACAACCTACAGTCCGTTCCCAGTGAATGAGGGCCTAAATGAAGCTTTAAAAAAATATCTTGGGACCGCACCAGAAAAGGCCCTGCCCATCATGATGCAACCAGGAAAGAGCCCAAGCCCCCTGCCCCCCCCCCCCCTCTCCCGTACTCTTCGCCTATGGAGTGTACAATAAACATTGTGGGGGTGCTGACACTCCGTGTAAAGTTTTTCGTGCCTGTAGCGCACGTGTCTCGCGCAGAAGCCACATTTAGGGGTCAAAACAATTGAGCGGTAGGTGGCGTTGTGCTTGCGAGATTTATCACCACCATCATCATCATGGTTAGTGCGTAGCGCCGGCGGTGATGCCTGGTGGCAAGCCTGGGTGGCGGCGCATAAGAGATAAGTGGTGCTCTTTGGCGGGTGGCCGTTGGCGCGAACAGTTGGCCCTTGCGGCGGTCCTCGGTGGATGGCACCGCGGGTGGCCTGCAGTGGGCCTTCGTGGTAAGTCAAGCATTGACGAAGCCACCTTGTGTGTGTCCTTGTGTTTGTCATGTTGTTGAGTGTTGCATAATTTTGTGTAAGGCTGTTTAGCATGTTGATCACAATTGGTGTACAATAATTCAGCTGGCGATATCATCATTCTAAAAGTGAATAAACAAATGTGTGTTGTTTTCATTCCGACCGTGTCAACTGCGTCCGTTTACTCCAAAAGCATGACACACTTCTCCACATCGACACCCCACAACATTTATGTTATCAACCTCATAAAACACCTTTACATAAATTAGTAGTGCTTTAAAAATAGAAGCTAGAAAAGTAAAGGTAATTACAAAGTAAAAAAGGAGTCTTACTTAGGTGTTCATGGGCCGGATGCTGGTATGACATCTCTAACCAAAGGTGAACCTAGGAAAAGCACAAGCTCTATTAGTCTGAAGTTGCCTCGATAAAGGTTTTAAATGTGACAATAATAAATATTTATTTTTACGGAAAGAAGTTCTTGTGCACAAAAAGAAACAAGTTTGCCACAAACAACACTGTCTACAATAAAAACAGTCCAGCTTGAAGAAGTGCGCCATTCTATACATGGTGCATAGAAACAAAATCATAGCAAGTAAGAAAGAGTGCTTGTAAATTTTCATGCAGATGTGTGCAATTTCTGCATGCCTGTGCAAAAATTTTCACTAATCAAACAGTCTTACCATTGAGATGTTGTCACATGCCCAACAAGTAAATTTAAACTGTTTGAAAAGGTAGTACATTGTAACAAATTAAACAGTTAACTGAATTTACAATGTACTAATGCATAATAAACAATCTTAAATGCCATGCATATGTAGCACAATGTGTACAAGCTTTTTTTTCCTCAAGTGTAAACTTTTAATGTTAATAATCGATTGGGTTGAATGTCCCGAAACCACGATGTGATAATTGGAGATGCCATAGTGGAGGGCTCTATAAATTTGAACCACATGGCTTTGTTTATTATACACCCAAAAGCTTTGAGACTGTACCTAAACTACAGTACAATTAAAAGCTGCCACAAGCACTTACACCTTTAGTTTTTACTTTCGTCAACAGAACAAATGATGTGGATAATGAAGTACAGTAGTTCTCACAGATGACACTGTGGCAAAAAGGCAACATTTTGGGAAGAAGTTTTTTACTAGTTTACAGAAAGATATGCAAGCCGGAGAAAATCATATGTATAAAAAGTGACCAATACCACGTTTAGACTGTTGCAGTGTCAGAGAATTAGTAGCTTCTCTGACGCACGAGATTTTTAAACTTGTGCCACTCACATGAGCCGAAAAACATACAACACAAGAATGATGTGCTTTCGAACTTCTCATTGAGCAAGACAATGCTATAGCTCTGCTAATGCAAGTATAACTTCCAGAAACAACAGCAGATTGCAATGAACTAACAAAAGTATTTCCCCAACGTCCATGACCATTTGTGCAAATACTGTTGTTCTTTTATGACTTCCTTAGAATCGTATTTATGGCCAAGTTCTTCAACTGCTCTCTTCTTTTTTTAAGTTGTAACCTTTTGTCTTACAACCCTGAAAATTCTGTAAAAAACACTTTGCAACCTTGTTTTCTTTGTTATTTAGTGTGTATACTGCTCACCCTCATTGGACTTTTGTCCGAAGTATTCCATAAATAAAATAATTATAAAAATAAATTATCCTTTGCAATACTGAAACAAGAAAATCATTGTTTTAGGTCCCAGGAAGCCGACAACATGAACAACAATAACATTTAATGACAATTTAGATGGTGGTCACCTTTCAGTGAAACATGGAAACATCCTCGCTTGCCAATTTTTCTGAGGGAGTAGGGCATCGAAGAGGTTTGTGTGGAAGCGTAATTATTCATTGAAAAAGTGTCATGCACGCATAAAAGACGACCTTGTTCTGATCCAAACTAGATGTTTATTTACCCAAGGTTAATTTCATTAGAACAATATTCATTGTACACAGACCTCCAGCGTTGTCATCTCTATAGAAAATGGGACTGCCACTGCCAGGATCAAACTTACAGCTTTCTAATCAGCAGCTGAGCGCCTTAAGCACTGTACCACACCGACAGCTTATATACTCGACACAATTATAGTTTAGACAAATTACGCAAAACTTGTTCTTATGTAAAAAACTTGGTCGCAAATAGTGGCTGCCTAAGGTATGCAAACCAACAAGTATAAGAGGGGGGTATAAAGCACCCCTGCCGCCTGATCCCTTTTCCCCTACTGCTCACTAAGAAAGCAAAGTGACGAGGAAGAAATTTGCATCCCCCCCCCCCCCCCAGCCCTAACCTCCTGTATCTGCCACTGACACAAATGAGTGAGAGCACATGCAAGTATGAGCACAAGTGTGTTCCAGTCAGTGTGAATAAAAGTTAGTAAGAATTCAAGATGGGCTTATAGGTACACTTAGCCAGAAGTAAGAATGTGAATGCTCACAAGTATGACTACACACGAATGCGAGTGCACAGAAAGCATAAAAAATTGTGCAGTCACAGCATCAATTATAACTGTGAACTTGTGTATCTTGCACAACACCTTGTGACAATGTACCTCTTTAGAGCAAGCACTAGCAAAGCGGTGCAAAAAATGCCATACAGCATAGCCGAGGTGGATGAAACCAAAAGGCAGCAAGGTCAAACCAAGCATAATGGTGCAAATCATCAGTGTATAACACAGGCTGACACATACAGTACCTCAGGCCAAAAAATGGCACAGAGATGATCAATAACTTTTTTCTTTAGCATCTCGTCCTCTGCCGACCAGCTTGTCTCAGAGTTGCACTTGCTGAATGAAATAAACAGGACACATGACCTAGTTCATTTGGAACAGTAATGTGCCATAACCACCAAACAAATATATATATCAAGTGCTCCGCTGCTGCGATACTGAGAGAAAAGGGTTATCTTTTTTACTCAAGTCTTCAAATGAACTGATTACAATAACAAGCCAAATGTAACTACAAGATTAGCAGTTACATATAGCATTGTGCAGATATTACACTGAAATGCCACCATGTCTTATTCCACAATGCACAGGGCAACTGGGTTGACAAAATTTATGAAGCTCATATTTAACACTTCCATGGCTCACTAAATGCTGTCACATGTCAGTTTTTCCACGTTTTTGCTGGTTTAGTATTTTTATGCAAGTAGCACATTGTTCCAAAAATACATCAAGACAGGTCTACAGTACCTTTCTGTTGAGGTAGAGCCACCATTCAATATGATACTCTTTGTAACAGCTGCTGTTGGAGAGGCAAGCCTCCTGCCTGTCACACTGTTGAAAAAAGGTAGTTTAGTATACCTAAAGAAAGTATAGCATTGTGATAACCCACTGGCTATACTATATAACATTCAAACAGTTTTTCAGAGCACTGCTGTGAAAATATAAAGCCCAAGAAAAATCACTAAAATGAGGTCTTTTTAGTGAGATTTCATTGGACTGAATCAAACTGAATTTTATGTAACAACGATAAGCATTTGCAAAAAATAAAAGCAACTCTGAGAACAACAATCGACATTACAAGCACAATGACATCAAACCTGTCACTCATTAATGGCATTCTACACAACAGTTATAAAATTAGGTGTTCTAGTTTATAATGCCTTAAAAGTGCTACAATACATCTAAGTTTTTTTAGACTTGCAGCTATCATTAGTTTAACCAGTGGGAACCTAATAATATAGCTATAGCAAAGTAACACTCATCTAACAAACAGGAACTTACTGATTCCCATTCCACAGGTGTCAAATGTTCAATGTAGTGATGCAATCGCCTCGAGACTATTTATGTTGTTCACATCCAACAGCCAGCGTCCCTGGGAACTTTTCAGTGACATGGTGCAACTAAAGCACTAGTGAAGCGCTAGTGTACACTGTGTTTGCCGCAGCAAGCACTGAACATATAGAGTCTAGTATGAAACTTCCAACAAAAGTACTGGCAGAGATAGAGCAAAAGTGTTCACCGTAAGTGCGGAAACTGTTGCTTCCATCGTTCACACTCAAGCTTGAGTTCACCATTCAAGACGGAACTTCTGGGCTCATTATCACTTTCTTCATACAAGTAACCATCAATGGCTTCAAGGGTTTGTTGAACTTGGGCTGCAGCGCTAGTATAGAAGTCCTAGATGCAAATGAATAAAAAGTGCACTGAGTATTACTTCACCACTAAAAAAAAAGCCAAGAGTTTTCATAGCAACAAACATTTAAAGTGCGCACAGTGAGCATTTACAGATAGCGCAACAACATTATCAGAAGCAACAATTTCCCATAAATACCATGTGGGATGTGTTAACAGCCACTACATTGAGCTCATGGCCAGTACACAAGTGATGCTTGTCTTTACTTCTCACTACATCTAGCGGACATGTAGGCTTGTTTAGCAGCCGAAATGTGCTTTAAGCAGATAGCAGAGACTTTGCCACAACCACACACTTGGTAAGCAAGAAAACATACAAAAAGAAAATGTAGACGATGACACCATCATGAAGTAGTTCCTGCATGAACTCGCTGTGATGTCAGAATATTAAGGGCTACTGCTAAAGCCCCCACAGTTAATAATTTGTAAATTTGGGGTACATTGTCTTCTGATAGAGTTTTAGAAAAGTTTTTTAAGCCAACGTGGCTTACACTAAAACACCACTTTGAAGTTTATGATGTATTATTGACATCCACGTGAAGAGAGTTCAGCTCAAAATTATGAAAATCTTTCACCTTCATTTTCTCTTTTAATAATAAATATGTGGTCTGATAATTATTAATAACGGTATGCCAAAAAAATAACTTATCAGTCTAAAGTGGTTCACTGCTGCACTTTAGTGCCCCTATAATAATAGCTTAAAGTGCCAAGTCTGAATGCCCACTTAATAATACACACACTCAATGAAATGTTTGCTAATACAACTCTTCTAAAAAAAATACGCTCAAAAGCAGCTGACACTTGCATCAGTTACTGTTCTACAGTGCTCGCAACATGCACAGAACCAGGACCACGTTGTTATTGAAGTGATGGCAGCACTCACGTATACTGTGGTATTAAGAAATTTCGTTGCATAAGAGCTTTAACATGCGATGGTTTGGTGAAAGTGACAACAGCCCAGAAGTGTGCCAAAATAACGATAGAGCACTCATCTAAAGATACCCAAATAAATACTCAAGAAACAAGAAATAATGCTGTTTTGCAGCAGCATTGAAGCGATAAAATAGAGTAGTTTTGCAGCAGTGTCAGAACATCAAAAACCGAGTTCTGGAGAAGTGCAAACATCTTTTGGAACAGATTCCTAGGATTGCACATCACTGTTAACTCCACCTAATATTTCTGGTAAAAAAATAAAAGTCTGAATACATTTAGGCAACAGTACCCAACACCATATACTGAACCAACCACACTGAAATTTTGAAACTACATTTCCGTCATTAGAGCATCACTTCTGACAGAGCAATAACAAAACTAGAGATATACAATGCTTTGATTAGCTAAACCTAATTTAGGAAAAATAAATGTTATCTGCTAATAACACACATTTGTAATGAAAAACAATCCAGAGAAATTTTGTGGACAGCTCCAAAAAGAAGATTACTATAAAATGTCTAGACCACAAAATATAGAATTTAAAGCAGAAATCTCAAGACCTGAACCAAGCTATAAAAGTTTGCACAACTTGGAAGGCATCTAGAATGTCCTGCTTACAAAGTAAACACTTGCTAAGAAAGCACGGGCTCTAAGAAAGTACATGATCTATTATGCATCATATCACATACAGAATTCTAAGCTTTTCTTTAATACTTTTTCGACATAACTGCATCATCACAAACAGCTCTGAGTCCCCTCAAACATGACAGTTCTTTACAAACAGCTTTCAGACTACACAATTTTGGCAACCCACAGTGGCAGCAAAAGGATAGAATTGTTGCACTGTTAATCAAATTGTTTTGTTTCCATTTTTATTCACACAATTAATAATTACATTAAGCTGTGATAAACACATAAGGCTTGTTGTACAATGACGAAAACACTAATTTTATTTAGTGCTCATTCCAGTTTATTCCAAGAAAGAAAGTTCTGTTCTTTTCCCCAATATATTAAAACACCAGTATGCTACGGTATTTATGCCTACAACCTGGCATCAACTTCCGACACTAGGACAGACAGGCTCTCGTTCATTACGGAGCCAGGACTCTCATTCTCCATTCAAGCATTGATAAAGAAGCTTTACTCATTCTAGGCCACTAGGCATTCAAAAGAAACTGCATAGTTGCCTCTATCCCATTTTTCAAAAAGACTATATGCCTACACAAGGCATGTCTAAGACAGCTGACAGCAGAATAGCCCAATTATTGACAAGGTTGTTTTGTTATACAAAATGTCACATTGTTGCTTTATCTGATGGCTGTGTTTACATAACAAAAACACCCCAAAGAGACATCACTGCTACACCGTTATAAATCAAAATTGTTGATTATATGCACCAAAGCATATATCAAAGCTACATTTAATATCCCTAACACCACTAAAATGTTCCTAATAACTAAAAGTAACATAACTGAATAACTTGAATTTTACGGTACTTACCAGCCTTCACAACTTCACCTATGTAGTTGCCAATTTTTTTAATGCATTAAGAGATATCAGAAAGCATTCAGTCATGCAGTGAAAACTTGCTGTTGATACATAACAAGCTACTTTATATTATATAAATAATCTTAGCAGCAAGTTTTTTTGTTTTGTTTTTTCAGTTTATTATACCACCCCACACAGACACGAACTTGTAAGTGCGCTTGCCTCACCTGGGTCAAGGGGTTAAATCACACATGATATGTTCCAAATAAAAAACAAAAACTATAATAGCAAGAAATTTCTAGATGCAAAGCTTTACGTACCTCATCCCATGAGGAAGTCGCAGTAGGCCCTGTACGCTCAGACCAAGGGCTGAAAGCTGCCCCACTTGAGCAGTCCATGCAGTACACTCTGATCAAAGAGAGAATAACAAAGTCAATAAGGTTCCATGTCATTCAGCCAACAACTGGTGTAGATCCACCTCCTTTTGTCACGACACACCGGATGAAATTGGATTATTTGTTGGTATCACCAGCTGAAGAGCCTGCATCTAAAAGTGGACGTATGGCTTGGGTGGGACTGAAAGTGCCGCGTTTTAAGGTAAAACATTCATGTCTTTTTGCTTCATGAAATATCCAAGCTAAGATAATGCAAGAGGCTTATAGACAATACCATTATACCTCCTAGAGGCAGCCAGACTCCCCCTTTCCTCCATTTATTAGTTAGTTTATTTATTTACACACACACAATTTAGTAAGTAGACAATCAGCCACTTCAAAATCAATATCCCCGCTAAACATTTCAGTAAAGCAACTCTCTCTCTGACCTCAAAACTTTGGCAATGAGAGATGAAATTATAGGGCCTACCATGCAGACCTTGAGTGGTGTAAGCATTCAACTTGCAGAAAGAACATTCTAGCATTATACAACTCATATAATTATGAGGTTTTACATGCCAAAACAAATAATTATGAGGCATGCTTCAGGGGATTCCTCAATGTGTGCATAAATTTATGCACACAGGTGTTTTTTTGCATTTCGCCCTCCCGAAAATGTGGTTACTCTGGCTTAACATCAAGGCCATGCCGTCAAGTTTATCAGCACAATACCTTACCTGCTAAGCTACTACAACAGGTCATGAAAAAAACCAAGACTCGTAAAATGTATCATAGATTGATTGATTGATTTGTGGGGTTTAACGTCCCAAAACCACCATATGATTATGAGAGACGCCGTAGTGGAGGGCTCCGGAAATTTTGACCACCTGGGGTTCTTTAATGTGCACCCAAATCTGAGTACACGGGCCTACAACATTTCCGCCTCCATCGGAAATGCAGCCGCCACAGCCGGGACTTGATCCCGCGACCTGCGGGTCAGCAGCCGAGTACCTTAGCCACTAGACCACCGTGGCGGGGCAAAATGTATCATAGAGACTTAACAGCACCTAACATGAACAGGTTCACACTGGCTTGTAAATTTTAAATATTCTGCTCGCACATTATTTCACATAGCAGCAGCACCAGGCTACTTCTCTTTCAATATCCAAACCTTAATTTCTTTGTTAGTATATGTTTGCAGTAGATGTGCGAAGTTTTCTTTGGTACACAGACCTAAGTCTTAGCAAAATTTTCTCAAATCTTCAATATCCCCTGCTTTTCATTTTATTCCTTTAGTTTATTATCTACACCAGGGGTCGGTAACCTTTTCAGATGGAGGGCCGAGCTGCATGAAGCAGACATAGCGGGGCCGCCTGACAAAAGGCAGGAAAGGGGAAAGAACTTTGCAGGCAAAGAGGCAAAGTTTGGCGAATCGACAATCATCGTTATTTTTAATCGATATATATAGATAGCTATCAATAGATATAGTCATTAATGCATAACAATGCTCGTTATCGACACAGCACATTTTACACCCGCTGCAGAACAAAGGCTTTTCACAGTGATCACCGATTCGCCCTGTACTGCTCAAGCTGATTCCATGCAATGTATACAAATTTATTAACGGAATCACACCGCCAAACCCTCTTCCATCCTTTGCTGCATTTACCATCTCTTACTAGCCATTCAATGACTCTTACCAACCATCAGTTATCTGTGCTATGCACAACGAGAGTAAACTAAGTCTTCTTTTGTTCCAATGTTTATTTATTTATTTATTTAATTACTTAAAGATTCCGCAAGCCTATACTTAGGTCCTAGCAGGAGGGGCAACAGCAACAAAAAATAGAAAGTCGAATACTGACACAGGACATAATCAGACAACTTATAGAGCTCTTAGCCAACAGTGTTATGGAAGATAAATAATGAACATACACAGTAAAAGTCTACAAATAATTCACTCGGGCACTGCCAACATGCCATATTCATAACTAAACTATACAAAAAAAGCTTCAAGTTGTTTTTCAATATCTTTGAATTGCAAAGCACTTATTGGTGAGGAGTTCCAGACGGCAATAGTCATCGGGAATGTCAACTCATATCAGCTGATCACCTTTGTTCTCTGACTGATGAACACTTCACAGTTTTTATTTTATCACATACTGACCATGTGTTTCATGTGTAGTTACTTTGTAAGTTCCCAAATTTCTACCCTGTATGTTAGTACTGCCAGGATGAAATAACTGTACACTTTTTCTCTTTCAGAGACAGTGGTATGTTGTCAGTCATTGCATGTGCCCCAGATCATCCTTAATATTTGGTGAATTTTGTTTTATTAATAGGCTTCCCTGTTAGTAAATTACCCAGATATCCCTAATATTACACAGATTCTAAGGTCTGCCTGGCTACGGTGAAGTTTAATTCTCACTACAAGATATCAAGCATCTTCTTTATATTTTGCAAATTATTTTCAACTCCATTCTGACATTTTCTCAGTTGAAGTCTTCAATGATAAGTTACAGTTAGTCAACATTATTGCTGAACGGCACAATGTCATGTGTTAATCAGAGGTCATCGAAACATTTTCTCCGTTAATCTTTGTTCCCATTCTTTCAAAGCTAGTTATGTGAATACTTATTCTAAACAAGAATAGAAAGTTAAAAAATTTGTGAAAACGGGTTGTCGCTGATACCAACATTTCAACAAGCAATCTAATCGCTAAGGCTGCAAGTGATGCTACCATGAACTACCAACTTTTTACATCTCCTTTACTGACCCCTTTCTCAATAGAAAGTCTTTTGCCACCCTTGTGGAGAAGCAATATAGCTGTGAGGCATTGGCTAAGGTATTCAAATATGATAAACTAAGTCTTGGCAAAGCAATGCTTCGAAGGGTGCAGGTATCTACTCATTCTAATCCCTCCCCCTTTTTTTCATTGTCTATGAAAGCCACATAAAGGGGTTAGTTGTACGTGGCAGACTTCTCAATTACCTGACTGATCACATGCCTGTAAACCACCATAGAACATCCCTTTATAAAGCTAGCTTTCTCTCTTGGTTGCTGTACATCATTTGTGGCAAAGAACTCCTCTGTTAGGAATAATCACATATTTTTTTTAGTGCCTTTGCCACATATACCTGATTCACTTTCTGAGCAGCTGGTGCTAATTGCCTCCTGTGTGGTTATCTAAGATTACTAAGGCAATCTCATTATACTTAAAACAGGTGCAAAATATACTGATGGGTTTCTATGTGTCAACACTGGGCCTTGCAATATACAGTAGTAGAGGCCTCTGAATAAAATTTAACCATGTGGGGTTCAAATTTTTCTACGTTCTCCGAACAACATAATAGAGTTGCCGTGGCTAACTGCGAGTTGTATCCACTACCTTACAGTAATAAGCAGACCGTTATGCAGAAAGGTAGCACTTAGAAAGAGGGTAACATATAATTGCTCATGGCTGTTGTAATAAAAGGTGCATCCTTTAATTTATAATGTGAATTATTTTATGATGCTGAAGCCTAAATGCTGACAAAATTTCAATAAACTCTTTCACCATCCTTTCAATGACTGCAGTGTGTTTAATGCATGTTTGAAATCGCATTACATTTGAATGCACTCCACAATTCAGAAAAGTTTCCCAGTATGGTCCACTGTTAAAAATGCCGAACAGCAAAGTTGACAGAAACTGTTGACTTAACCAATTATAAATGTACCTAGTGCCAGAACAAAAAATGGAGTGAAAATGAATACGGCAGCAATAAAACAACGACTCAAGTTGAATGGTAGTGCAACAACCTGTCACTGCTTACAAGCCATGACCTCCGAGTTTCTTATAAGTACAGGTAATCAGCATCCACAACTGAAACTGGATAACAGGCCACAATATAACAATACTGCAGTTGTCAATGTCCTACGTTACAGGTCGTATTAAGACCACCTGTCCCATATTTTCATTAGTTTTACTGCTCATACACACTGACATAAAATACGATTGCAAGAAATAGCTCTTCATTCAGGTGAGTTTCAACAACCTAAACCATATGGCGAAGCAATCTGCCACGAGTGCCTTGTTGATACAAATAGCGAATACAAACCGATAACACACTACCAGTACCCCGTAAAGCGAATAACCATATGCCATAGAATCAAAATGATGGAGATACCATACTATCCGACATTCCTAGCAAACGAAAAAATAAGTATGGCAAGGTGAGCTTACAATACGAAAGTCAAGCAGTGGACAAGTAAACTACTCGGTGATTGAAATGCTATTATTTGCAAGGGGTCAAGACAAACGATATCGGTTACTGACCCGACTGTTACGTCACCAAACCCTTCGTAAGTAGTGGGGACTTGAGTGGTAATCTGCCACGTGACGGCCTCACATTTTATGCAAGAGGACTGCTACTAATTAGAACATATGGAATGTAGCAGAGACAGTATTTGAGTAAGACTGCCGTTTTGAAAAGCTAAAGAGAAGTCTAAAATAAATAAAAAAGAAGCCAAAGGTAATGAGCGTTTCCATACGGCTGCTCGAGGAGCGTTAGCCTTCAGTAAAGCACCTTCAATTGCGTGGCTGTCGAATAAGCCTCGAAATGTAAAACAGTGATCGTGGCTGCATGGGCAAATTTCACTCTTTCGAGTGATACTTGTGATCATAAAGCGACATATTCCGACCCCAATCCACCACACCACGAAACAAACATGACTACGCCGAAATTTATACAAATGTCAAAAGGCGTATTCAATGTACGCGGGGCGGCAACTTACACGGTCTCATCATCACTTGGAAGCCCAATCCTTTCATAGGCGATGCTGCGTCGTGAAGCTAGGGGCTGAATGCTGATAATGAAACAGGCAGCACACATTAGCACACCGAAAAAGACAGGAATCTACGTCGCAGAAGCACACCGCTCACCGTTCAGTCTTACTTCTACGGACGCTCGTTGCCATTTCGAAGCCAGCTGTCGATGTCGCTAAGCTCAGCGAATTCACTGTCACGCAATCAACTAAATTTTCGGAGGTGAACCATTGAATGGGGACGCACGCGAGAAACGAACGGACAGCAGCAGAAGCCCAGCGAGCGAGGGAAGCGAAAAAAAAAAAAAAAAACGTGCTCATTGTGGCCAACGACCAGATCAGCGGATCTCTCTTGACGTCAGATCCGCACAGCTGTCGCTTCGTGACCGGCTTTCGCTTTCACCACCGGCAAGCGCGGCAGCCAGCTGGATTCCCCGTTAGCGCGACTACACGCCTAGTCAAGTGCTGGAAAAAAAGAAGAGCACTCCGCGATAGCCCTTTCTCGTGCATGCAAATAGAATATGCGAAGTTCTTTCGTGGTATTTCCACGAACAATGGTTAGGCGCGAAACGTGGACGGCAGCTCAGGTGAAATATTCCACTTTTGAAACGTTTCTTTTTAATATTTTTGCTATGTTGCCAAGCAGAATCGTTTGAACGGTAGGCAGCCCAGAAGGCAGCCGTTGAAGAACAAAACTTCGCTGACGGTTCAGGTTGTTAATTGCCCATCGACACGTAGCTTGAACGCGTCTCGTAACGTTGTGACGGCGTCCCCTCTGTGCGAATTTCATTTGCGCATTCGCGATATGTTCACTTCCGCGTTCTCTCATTCAGCGTTTACCTGAACGAGAGAATAGGAATAAGTTAACGAATCAGGATAAGTTGACGCATGCTTACGTTGTCGTTTCAGCTGCAGATTGTGCGTTCCATTGAGTCCGCGGCGCTCCGCCTTGACCAACGCAGCTGGATGGTTCCTCATCCATGGCCAAACCCCGAAGAACTGCGACACCACTTGTTCGACGTGCTGCTAAACTTACGAAAAAAGTGCGATGCTGTCTGGCTCCCCTCCAGTTGGCTCTTTATAAGTTCACGCAACATAACTCTTTTTTGTGCAGTGTACTGCGTTTTTTGTCCAACACGATGCATATCGAAGGGCCACAAGACGCCATAATGAATCAGCCGCAAAACTGGAATGAGCCCGCGTAGGAAGGTGAATGATCACTTAGAGTGGCCTCCAATTCCACCGGTCATAAGATATGCTGATGACGTGGAAGCAGGTGGGGCTAGTATGCACGCAGGCAGGAATCCGATCATTCGACTATGTATGCAACTCCATGGAGTTCGTCAACGTATCTTTGTGCCAGCTGAGCACGAGCGTGCGCGAGGGGCACCGCAAGGCTGCAAATGAAAAACGGACAGAAAATGAAAACACTAAAAAGCTAATTAAGTCATCGAGAACAATGTAATACAAGCCATGTAACGAAGTTAGTTTTTCAAAGGAGCCCTGCAAAACTTTTTCATCAAGGTCAGGAAACGCTGCCCATGGTAGTCAGGCTCCAGAGAACACCCACAGCACGCGGCTGGTAATTGATGACAATTTCTCAAAGTCAGCTAAAATCGCTTTCTCTTCTCTTGACACTAAAAAATATCTACGCATCTCCACGAAATGAATCATGACGAGTGGGCGAAGCACGGATCGTTCATACCGCAGATTACCCGTGCCACTGCCCACTTGCGCATGTAAATGAGTGACGTCGTGTGTGTACATTACGTACAATGTGTCTTTGTCGTTGAGCCGCCGCCTTCCGCCCCCTGATCTCCGGAGTAGCAGCTTGTTGTCGGCGTTGCCGTTTTGCCGCTGCTTCCCAAGCTCTTGAGAATCATCTCGTTGGTGTTGCCGCCTTTCGCGGCCGAGTGCGCCTTCACGGTCCTTTTCATGCATCCATGGAAGGAAGATGGTGATGATGATGATCCTCGGAAGAATGGCTCAACCCACCACAGGGTATCAGCCTTGAGGCGTGCGGCAATATAACTTGTGAAACTAAAAAATATATAAATAAAAAAGGAAGACATAGGGAACAAAGAGGTGGGAAGGATATGCGAAGAAGACCATCCATACATAAGTAAATTTTTGTGATAACTTTGGTGTACTTTATTGCAATGCTACTTTAAGTAAAGTTAAACATATGAACTAATTGATTGGTATAGTTAAGGTAACTAGATAAATTAAAGATTACGTTATATGAATAATTTGATTTGTGGGATTCAACGTCCCTAAACCACGATATGATTATGAGAGACGCCGTAGTGGAGGGTTCCGAAAATTTCGACCACCTGGGGTCCTTTAACATGCACCCAAATCTGAGCACACGGGCCTGCAACATTTCCGCCTCCATTGGAAATGCAGCCACCACAGTCAGGATTTGATCCCGCGATCTGCGGGTCAGCAGCCGAGTACCTTAGCCACTGATGATTTGATTGATATGTGAGGTTTAACGTCCCAAAACCTCCATATGATTATGAGAGACGCCGTAGTGGAGGGCTCCGGAAATTTCGGCCACCTGGGGTTCTTTAACGTGCACCCAAATCTGAGCACACGGGCATACAACACTTCCGCCTCCATCAGAAATGCAGCCGCCGCAGCCGGGATTTGACCCCGCGACCTGCGGGTCAGCAACCGAGTACCTTAGCCACTAGACCACCGCGGTGGGGCACGTTATATAAATAAAATGTGTGGTCTGGAACGGGCTTCTTCCTCGTCGTCATCAGCGTCATCATCGTGGCGGGTCACGTCTTTACTGACTCATGAGAAAAAGCTCCTGGTAGGGCCCATACATTAAATCATATAACCGCTCGAGTACCGCTATGATGAAACTATCATTACTCACCCTCGAATTCACAAACGCTCCTCGACTCGACTTTCCCCCTTCACTTGACAGAGTTGAGCACTGCGCCGCCACTCGACTGAAAATAGCGCTGCGCTACTGAAGAATCGCAGCAGATTATCGCTGATATGCAGTGACTTGTCGTGACCAGAGACAGCGCTCCCATCGGCTTTCTCAAGTGAAGGTCGAGCGTTGAGTGAAGGGACGTTCTAGAATACGGGGGTCAGCTTTCGGCAGGGGCACAGCCAGAAATTGTTTAATTGTTTTCGGGGGGGCGATGGCACCTCTTTGATTTCGGAGAGGGCGCTCCCTTGAAATGGTCATTTTTCGCTCTCTGTGCCATGGCCGAAAAAAATGGCAGCATATCCATGGAGTGAATGATGGAGAGTGGGGCGAAGCATCCGTCCGTCCATTCGTTCTTGCTTCCATCCATCCATACGTCCGTCTGTGTGACCGTCCGTGCGTACGTGTGTTCGTGCGTCCGCAAGTCCATCTGTGGGTCCGTCCCTGCTTTCGTCCATGCATCCGCCCCTGCATCCGTCCATGCATCCATCCGTCAGTGCAGCCATCCGTGAGTCCGTCCATGCATCTGTCTGTGTGTCCGTTCGTCCATCTATTCAACACTCCAAGTACCACCAATGGTAGTGTATAGGTGTTCTGTAGTACCACCATCTCGCATCTTTTCATCATATATTCCGCATATGCACCGCCATCCAGCGGACATTCCAAAGACTAAACGAGAGGTGGCACACGCACACTTTCTTACGGCTTGCACTTCGTGTTTACTTCCCACCTTTAACCACCTCAAGTTCATGGTATATACTAGTTCACTGTATTCATGGCACTGCGCCCCAACGCTCGCTAACCCTTTCTAAAACCAAGGAGGTTATGGCCAGCGAGTATAACGTAGCAATCCTTTCTTGTTAGATAGGGCTCAATGTACATGCCAATGGCTGCTAAGAGGGAATAAGAGACAGGGGAATTCGGCTTTCAGTTAACGCGCGCGCTGCGAATTTTTTATTGTTTAACAACGCACAGAAGCAATCCCTCACCGGCACCACCTTGGAGGTCAAAATGTAAGACTGGTTGCACACTGCGACTACTACTACGACTACGAGGGACGAACGGGTGCCGCTAAAATCAAAGTCCATGCAAGCAGTTTCGCCGCGCGAGTCGCACAGCCGGACCCGGGGCCACATCACGCTGACGTTGCCCCACCGGTCTTCTTCAAGGAAAAGGAAGCAATCTGTGGCAGAGTCGTCGCGCCCTACCGCGAGCGGCTGCCACCCCCTGGACTCGGGCCTCCCGCCCGGAGCCCTCCTTCCACCCGCATGCCAGACATCGCAAGGTCCCCGGACGCCGTCTGCTGCCACGGAAGCCTTCTGCCCTGGTGCCACCTGACGCTGAGCGGTCTCTGAGCCACCCTGTGCACGAGAGTGCAGAGAAATCTGCACACTACCACACCAACAAGTCGCCCTCCCTAGTTCCGCCGGCTGAGCGCCCGCGAGACCAGCGGACACGCCCCCTTCAGACATGGCAAGCCCAAGCACCCTCCCGGTGAGGCAGAATTGTTTTCTGTTCACCGCCCCCGATGGGGACGTGTCTATTGACGACCTTATGGATGCAGTTGAAGAGACAGCCGGACCTGATAGTGTTTTGGTCTTGCAACACATGGGGGGCGCGAAGTTCCTGGTGTGTACCCAAAACGCGAGTCAGGCCACAAAGCTTATGGCCGCAGAGGGCTTCAAGGTTAACCGGGAGCACGTTACAGTAGAAGCGGTAGGACCCCCAGTTACGTTTGTTAACGTATACCGCTTCCCGGCATATATACCAGACGAGGTCTTGATTAACACTCTTTCACAGTACGGCAAGATAAGAAGTGTTTCCTTTGCATCAGTTCCTAACTGACAGAACAAGCTTAATGGGGTTAGAGTAGTGCACATGGAAATGAGTAGGCCAGTCCCAAACTTCACAACCATCGCGGGGCACCGTGTCATGTGTGAATACCGCGGTATGCGGAGAGTGTGCGCAAGGTGGCACGAACCGGGGCACATGGCCACGGCGTGCGCAGCCGCTTATTGCAAGAGATGTGGTGTATTTGGGCATGACACCGAAGGGTGTGTTGAGGAGTGTAAGAGACGCGGCGGGCGGCACGGCACACGCGAGTGTTTCCGCAAACGCTCGTACCTCGCGGCAGCGCGCGGCCTTCCACCCGAGACGCGGCCAGTTGCTGGTAACAACCACCCCAGCACCTCTCGCCCGCCTACCGGGACTGAACGGACATCAGGGCTTCAGGTCTTAAGACCCAGGACTCGGCCCCACACGACAACGAATGTCCCTGACCACCGGCAGTTCGAAGAACCCCGAGGGACGGAAGACGCCCGCACCGTATCAGCGA